CTCAGTGGCTAAGGCGCTGAGCTTGTCCATCAGAAAGGTTGGCAATTCAGCGGTTCGAATCCCTACTGCCACGTAATGGAGTGAGCTCCCGTTACTTGTCCCAGTTTCTGCCAACCTAGTAGTTCAAAAGCATGTAAAAATGTAAGTAGAAAAATAGGAACCACCTTTGGTGGGAAGGTAACAGCGTTCCGTGTGCCTTTGGCGTTTAGTCATGCCGGCCACATGACCATGGAGATGTCTTTGAACTGCGCTGGCTCTTCGGCTTTGAAAAGGAGATGAGCACTGCCCCCTAGAGTCAGGAACGAATAGCACATATGTGCGAGGGGAAGCTTTACCTTTTAAGGCTTTCTGAGTCGTGTGTCCCAATCCATTTGGCATACCAAAGAGCAGCCAGTTATTTACAAATAATGTATCAACCGCGAGATTGAATCCCTTCTGGATGAGAACGTACCAGTTTTCATGCTGTCTCTTTCTCTCTTTCTAACGTCTAGGAAGAAGAGCGGATAAACAAAATCAGTCTCAAGAACAGAATCCCCAAAGACCGTAAGTGTCTCCACTTCGCAGTTGGCCATCCAAAGTTGTCTGCCCTTCATCCTTTGCTAACTTGGTTCTGTAACCCCTTGCAGCTTTCCGACACTTGAAGAGGGGCTATTTGTTCATGTACAACCTCGTGCAGTTCCTGGGATTTTCCTGGATCTTTGTGAATATGACCGTCCGGCTGTTCATGCTGGGGAAAGGCAAGTGGCACAGTTTTGGTTCCCCTCCTTGTCTCCATGCCCAAGAAACTAGAATGGGCTCAAGGGGGAGTTGCCTTATGAGGCCTGTGGTTTGAACTGCACCAGGTCACGTGTTCCAACTTCTGTAGTTGGAGTTTCTGGGAAAGTTCTAACTTCATGTTAGCTGAAATCCATGTTATCTGGATAAGGTTGCGCAAAACATTTGAAACGGGTGCTTCACAACCCATGGAAATTGGTGCCGCAGTGTTATCTTTTGCAAGATGCCTAAAATCGGTCTGAAATCTATTCCTGATTCCTTTGCATTTAGTAGGTCTCCTTCCTTCACACTCCAATTACAGGTAGCTATCTTATGTTTTTGCAGAATCTTTCTCAGATACTTTCCACATGAGTGCGGACATGATGTACTTCTGCCAGATGTTGGCCTTGATGGAGATTGTCAATACCTTGATAGGCCTCATCAAAGCTCCTTTAGCTCCTGTTTGTATGCAGGTAATACTTTTGCAAACCACTTTGGAAAGTGTAAAAACTCATTTTTATGGGGCTGGCTGAAAGTTTACTTTGTCAGTTTAAGAGATCAACCAATATATCTCTTTAATACTTTATGTCTTAGAGTAGAAATGGCAAAGGATTGTATACTACATCATTCTGCTTGTTAATAATTCTCTTGAGCGAGTCTTGGGCATCTAATGATGTGCAAAGTTTTGTTATCTTGTTGAAGCTGTCCAAAAGCTTCCTGCCTTTGATGCTTCATTAAAGGAAATCAAAGATTAAAATATCAGACTGGAAACCTGGACGGTGTGAGTTCTAGTCTTGCCTTAGGCATGAAACCCAGCTGGGTGACTTTGGGTGAATCACAAAGAGGTAGTGAGTTCTAATCCTGCCTTAGGCAGGAAAGCTGTTGGGTGACTTTGGGCCAATCGCCAAGAGGTGGTGAGTTCTAGTTCCATTTTAGGGTGGGTGGATTTCCAGAATTCCTGACAAGCATGGGAAAATTAGGAAGCCCAGGCAGTTCAAATGAATATAAAGGTTTATTGTAAACTTATGCTCTCTACAAGAATCTGAACTACTAACAAGAATCTGGACTACTAATGGTCAAAGCAAATTGGTGGTAGATAAGAGTGAGTGGAATTTAAAGAGGGCTGGACTTAGTTCTCATGTGAGCACAAAGGGACTCGAGACTGACGACACATTTGATGCTTCTCTCAGCCCGGTCATTTCCTCAGCCAGCACCTATGGAATTCAAGCTCTCAGATTTTCCCAGCTGGTTCACACAAGCTGGCTGAGGAATCAGCACTGTTTCTGATGGGCTTGTAGAAGGGTATCATTTTGCATCTGACTTTTGGGGGAAAAAAGTATTTCTGCATATTTGGGCGTCCCAAAAAGAACCTGTGTCTTTTGAAATAGCAGGAGTCTCTAGCCTAAGCCACTTTAAGACTTGTGGACTTCCAACTCTCAGAATTCTTCAGCCAGCATGGCTGGTTGGGAAATTCTGGGAGGCAGTCCACTCAGCTTAACATTGCTAAGGTTGAGAAATACCGGTGAAGGTCACTCTTTTTCACCTGGGTGCCTCAAGATGGATATACCTCTGAGGAAGCTTCTCTTGTTCCATTGTCCACAAAATTATTGTGTTTGTTTTTCCTAGAGAGTTTCCTCCTACCTACTGAGAAGAAAGGCAGATTACTTACAGTACTTGACTAAAGTTTGCCCAAATATTTTAGCAACGGCCTTAAAAGATGCAGATGGAAACTTAGAATTAAAGGGGAGATTTCCTGACAGTGCAGAAAATTAAAATAGTGAAACAGCTTGACTCCAGAATTTGTGGGTGTTCCATCAACTGAAAATTTCTAAGACGAGACTGGACTTCCACTTGTCTGGAAAAGTTTCCTGCTTTTGCAGGGGGTTGGATTGGAAAACCTATAAAAATCCTATAGAAAACCACACTACAAAAAGGTGTTGAGACTCTAGAAAGAGTGCAGAGAAGAGCAACCAGGATGATTAGGGGACAGTGAGAACAATCAATCCATGGAACAGAAGTTGCCTTCAGAAGTTGTGGGGGCTTCATCACTGGAAGCTTTCAAGAAGAGACTGGACTGCCCTCTGTCAGAAATGGTGTAGGGTCTCCTGCTTGGGTGGGGGGGTTGGATTAGATGACCTCCAAGGAACCTTCCAACTCTGTCAATCTGTTAAAGTGAACTTTATAATGCCTTGATAACACCACACCTAGAGTGCTGCATCCAGTTTTGGTCACCACACTATAAAAAAGATGTTGAGACTCTAGAAAAAGTGCAGAGAAGAGCAACAAAGATGATTAGGGGACTGGAGACGAAAACATACGATGAGCAGGGGACTGGGCATGGCTGGTCTAGTGAAGAGAAGGACCAGGGGAGACATGATAGCAATGTTTGAGGGGTATTTGAGGGGCTGC